CAAATTTAAATGTTACCTAAATCCGAAGGGAAATGAGCAAACCTCTGGGATTGGGTGTCAAGGTATTTTCAGCTTCGCTGGGCGTATTTATCCTCAAGTGTTTCCATAACAAGCTATTTCGGGGCCTCGGCGCAGGTTTCGCTCTGCGGACGCGGTGACCACCAGCCGGGCTCCAGGCCGGTGGCACTGGGGTCCGGTGATTCACGGCCGCGATCCGGGGGCGACGCTGCCCAAGCAGGCGACAGGGTTGGGGTGCCCACATCCAGAGGGACAGGGAGGCCTGGTGCGAGCTCCCCCCGGCGCCCGCCGCTCCCGTCAATCTGTGTCCTGAATCTGTGACTTCTCGCTGCGGAAATCTCCAGGAGCCAAAAAACTTCAGTTTTCTTTCTAGCTATTTCTAGAGCTGGGTACTCAGACCTCCCGGGTCCTCCACAGATAGCTCCTGGCCCCACAGACAAACAAATGGAGAGATCTAGTTAGGGGTACCCAGGAAGCTCACCCCAAGAATGCCCCCCCATCTCCTCCTGACCCCTTGCGCAAAGGAGGCTCGTGGCCCACCCCCCCCCGGAGGGATGGGGATTGGTCTGAGAGGGCTAGCGAGCGCCTCTAACGCTCAGGAAGTGAAGTTTGCGGTTTTGGGGGCTGAGCTCCGAAGGAGATTAAAAAAAAAAAGTCAGAAAGACAGATCAGTCTCTCCCGAAAGCAAGATTCAGTTTGCACACTCTCAGAGCTCGGTGCCCGCGCCCTGACCCCGCAGGTAGGTTTGCTGAACTGCTGTGCCTCCCGCCCAGGCGGGGGTGGACTGGTAGGAGGACAGTGACACTATGGGGACGTCCCGAGGGCGCTGGCGGGGCACCCCCCGCTGCAGAGCCAGGGTCTGAAGCCGCCAAAGGCATGGAGCGAAAGATCTGGAATAGGGGGCACACGGTTTGGAGACTAGATAGGGGAGTGGGATCCACGTGGGAAGGAACCATCTGGTGGGTGTGTGGCTGCAGCTGGGGCTCTGGAAGCGGGCTCCTGAGCGCCTTGCCTTCAGGTCCCTAATTCCCGGCCTCAGATGACCAGGGTAAGCCTGGCGGGCCGCGGGGCCAGGAGCGTGCCGCCCCGCCCCCTGGACGCCAGCTGCAGCACGAGGTTGCCTTCCCACGCGCTGGGCCTTGGGCCTCACCATCCCCCTACCCCTCCTACCCGGAACCAGCAAAGACCTCCAGGGTGCTAAAGAAGTGTAGGCTTGTGGCTGGAGCGAGGACGTGTCTACCGTGTCCCGCGTGGTTTCTGACGCGCAGCCCTTCTGCTTCCCACGGCTCTAGTTCCTGGCCAGGGCCGGCCCGAGTTTCACCGAGGCCCCCGGGACCCTTGCTGTTTTCCTTCTTTTCATGCCTGCTTTAAGAATTGTCTGTTGGTTGGAGCGTCTGGCTGTACAGTTAGTCAAGGGGTGCAGGAAAAATTGCAGCGTTAGAGACAGAGTCCTGGAAGCCAAACCTGACCAATGAGTGTGACATGCTCGCCCCAAGGCCTTCTGGAGCCTAAATTTCTGGCAGCAATTTCCAGCATACCTTTCTTCCCACTCCTCGGGGAAGACCACACACTGGGGTTGGGGATCTGGAGCAGGTGTTGCAATTTTTAGAAGTGGCGCTAGAAAGACACCATGCGACAGAATTCAAGCTGAGGGATTTTTATTAGGGGAAATGATGGTTAAAAAGGGGGGAGGGAGAGGGGAGACCGACTTCCAGGGACAGGAGCAACGGGAATGAGGAAAGAGAGGGAAGAGAAGCAGGAGAGACAGGCAGGGAGAAGTAGGATGGGAGGTGGGCAGGGCCTTTTTAAAAGGGGACATAGTGAATGTGCTCAGGTGGTGCTCTTAGTGGCTGCAGCTGAGGGCGTATCCTATCAGAACCTCAAGGACAGGCCAGTACAGATGCCTGAATACTAACAGCAGACTACTAGACTCCTTTTGAGTGGGGCCGTATGTGTGCTCCGTACCAGGCCCTGGGAGCAAAGCGGTTCTGATTCCGCAGGAAGTCCAAGGACCAGAGGCGCACGTCGGCCTGAGCTTCCCTGTGCCCTGGTCTCTGAACCCGCCAGCCGCTGCCGCTGGCTTGTGAATCGACCCCCATCGCCTTAGACCTTGGGGTTGAAGGCAGGCAGAGTCGTTTAACGTAGGGCCCCTCAGGATCGGGGTTGGGGGTGGGTGAGAGGAGGAGCAGAGCCGACCTGGAGCTGGGACGTGGTGGCAGCCCCGCCTCCCCGCGGGTTCAGGTTTCGACCCGAGATTAGGTGAACTGATTGGGGGTTAATGAGAGCGACGCCAGCTCTGAGTCGTGCTGGCTCTGGGGACCCCGGCCTCCCGGCCGCTGCTCGCTCGTGTGCGGTCCGGTTTTATCTTGCTGGCCCCCTAAACCGGTGATGCTCCACGGATTTGGGCGCCGCGTGTTTGGCAGCCTGTGCACTCGCAGTTCAGACTTGATTTCCCTAGGACGAAATAATTGGTGAGCAGATCGGAAAATGTTTCTTCCCGGGACTTAGTTGTGGAGGCGAGGCTTCTGGGATCTGGGATGCTTCACCGTGGTCCACCGCTGGCTTGGAGGCTAACTTTTTCCAGTGGGCGTTTCTCTTGGGGCAAACGTTGGTCCTTTGCCACCCCCTTCACTTTCCTGTCCCTCTGGCTTCCTGCCTTTCTGCTCCAGCTTCAGTTTCACACGGTCGCTAGGCAAACCAGTCCTTCAGTTCTGCCTAGTACGCCCCTCTTCAGCTTGTTTGTCGTGGGGCTCTTGGAGATCTTGGCTCTCCATGGCTTTTCCGGGTCCCAACCACTGATACACCCCGGCCGCTTAAACTAAACTAATTTACGCGCCCCAGTCGGTCCTCTCAACCCAGAAGGGACCGGGAGGGCATTGCAGGGTTGAGTTGGGACAACGGACTACCGCTCTCTGGAGAGTGATGAGAGAGCTTTGCTAAGGGAAAGGGAGGGGCTGGGGCGTGGGCAAGGCAGAGCTAAGGGACCAGAGCCAGAGCCCGGGGACAGGTTTTACCAATGAGCCGTGGCGGTGGGGGGGGGGGGCCGGGGGGCGCACGAGTGCCACCTGGTGAGCGCGGCGCCTGGGGCCAAGCCCCTCCTCCCGCGGGCCTCCCTCTCTCTTCTCTGGCCGGTACTCTTCTCTTGGCCAGGGTGCGGTCTAGAGCCGCCATCGGTACTGACCTGCCCTTCCACCCGGTTCTCCCCTCCTCTCAGAACTTGGAGTAACCTCAGGCTGAGCGAGGGTCCAAACATCCATCCAGCGGCTGGCCACCATGCCGCGCTCCTTTCTGGTCAAGAGCAAGAAGGCGCACAGCTACCACCAGCCGCGTTCCCCGGGGCCAGACTACTCCCTCCGTCTGGAGACCGTGCCCGCGCCCGGCAGAGCAGGTGCGAGGCGCGCAGGGGCCGGGCGGGCAGCTGCCAGGGACGCCGACTCTTCTCCAAGCCACCTCGCTTCCTAGAACCAGAGGAGGCTACCCCAATGCCCCTCGGTGCTTTGTTTGCTTGTTTCCTAGTGCTGCGGTTCTGCGGAGCTTGCCAGAGATGCCCCTACTGCTCATAGTCGGCCCTTGAATCAGGGAGGGCTCCGGACTGGGTCTGAGTGGATAGAGGAGGGCGCTGGGGGCCGCCACAGTGGAACCATTTTAGCTCAGCCAGGCTTAGGTTTACGTTCCCCCTGACTCCTCTCCACAGATGACCCTGTGAGTGCAGGTGAGGCGAAGATGGAGCCCCGACACCGTTTGTCCCCCGACCCTCAGCTAACCGAGACTCACGACAAAGCCTCCACGTCCCCTGGCAGCTGCGAAGACAGTGTTTGTGACCCGAGCTCCGAGTTCGAGGACTTCTGGAGGCCTCCTTCTCCCTCGGTTTCTCCAGGTAAGGACCGGTTTGTGAGGTCTTGTGGCAGAGATCCGGGGACCCCATAGTACAGAGGGAAGCCCACACAAGAGAAGCAGAGAGCCTCCTTAGGAAGCTGTTTCTTAAGGGGACGGGGTCCAGGAGAAGGCATCCAATCTCTCCATACTGGACGTCTTTCCCTAAGTGTCCTCTGCCTCCTTCTAAGGCAGTTGGCTCCAGGCTAGTCCTTAATTCGTTTGGACCGGATCGGCGGGACAAATGAGCCGGTCCTCTAATCTGGCTGGCATTTCTTTTTGTGACCAGAATTCATTGTTTAGAAAATGTCAGATCCGACAGCTAGGGAACCTGCATGGGACCTCAGAATGTGGGTGACATTTATGTGACTTGATCTGTTGGGGGTGGCGGCTGGCAGTGACACCAGGACCTACCTGAGGTGCATGAGCTGGCTTTCTGGAGCCCATTCCCTATGATGGGATATCTTGCCCAGTCTTGATACGGGGGAGAGGGGCTTGGTCCTGCCTCAACTTGGTATGCCAGACTTTGTTGACTCCCTAAGGAAGGCCTTACTCCCTCTGAGGAGTAGATGGGGGTGGGAAGGGGGGAGGAGCGAGAGAAGGGGAGGAAGGGGGAAACTGGGGTTGGTATGTAAAATGAAAAATATTTTTTTAAATAAAAAAGAAAGTGTCAGATTCCAGAATCCAAGACGCAGACACGAATACGTCAGACAAGGCACCTGGGCAGCCTCAGCCAGACAGAGCTGGGTGCCACACTGGAGAAAAAGGTTGCTGAGGGAAATCTCAGTTCGTTGGCTCTGTCTTCAAAAGTTTCATTTCCCCTCCTTCTGCTAAGAAGGCCCAATCTCAGGGGCAGCGTTCATTTCCAGGGAGCAACTGAACTTCCTGCAAACCACGTGACTAGGGTTGAGGAGGAGTACCTGGGGTCTGGGCAAAACAAGGAGCAGCCCCATGATCCAAACCCTGCCAAGGGTCGGTTATTTCCAGATCCTAACACTAGTTTTAAAAGATAGCTCATCCACCCCAGCAAGCAAAGGGTTCTTCCTGGCAGTGTGTGACCCGCAGCCCCGCAGCAACCTGTCACAGGACAGGCTCGCCCAGGATGGAGTGTGAGGGTGCATTTACTCATATTCATCCAGTATCCAGTTTTAGCAAAATTCACATGAGTGAGGGGAGGGGAGTTCTGAAGATGGTGGCTAACTGTAAAATATTTTTTAACCAATAATTTATCAGGGATGGGCGTCCTTCGCGCCCTTGCCTGCTAACCCTTGCAAACCACATTAAACAACTTTACCGCTTTGAGAAATCTTAATGCCATTCAGTCTGATCCTTCTAGGTAGCCTCGGTCCAGAGTTTTTCTGCCCTTCTTCGTAATTTACGGTAAAAAGGAAAAGGGTTGAGTGGAGACTTAAATGGAGTAGAAGAGGTCAGGATCTAGTAACAGGACCCTAGGCCTAAGCCCTAGGACTGGCAGGTGTTGAGGGATGGGGGTCCATCCAAGGAACCATCAAATCGAACTTTCCTCCTCACCCTATGTATCATTTAAAACATCGCTTTGCTGCCCTGCCGCTGGCCCGGGAAGTCCCGTGGGCCTATCTGAGTTTTACCCAGGGTGTCCGGAATACTTAGCGTTTTAACCAGCTAGGAGCATGACAGTGCGGGCTCTGCCCAGCACTCTAGAACCTGACCCGACTGCCTCTGTGCCCCACAGGCTCTGAGAAGTCATTATGCCGGTCTCTGGACGAAGCTCAGCCCTACACCCTGCCTTTCAAGCCCTATGCGTGGAGCGGCCTCGCGGGGTCCGACCTGCGGCACTTGGTGCAGAGTTACCGGCAGTGCA